TTTTTTTTTGCATTTTTCCCTGTTTGATACTTTTTCCCCCCTTAAAAATTGGAACTTGGTACATTCAGTAGGAAATTCATCACTCAGGCTGTGGCCAAGACCAATAAAAGTGCAAAGAGACAGAGGAGGAATGAAGGAGACTCCTCTATGGTTAACATTCAGGGAGCCTGTCTAAAACCTCCCCCTTTGTATATGCTGGGAGGGTATGAGGGGCAGGAGGATGGTCCTGGCCCTCCCTAAACTCACCTCCCTCCAAAAGCCATGATCTTGCCCTGGGCAGTGATTCCTGCTAGGGCAGCCATTTTGGCCCCAAAAAACAGTAGCTGGGGAAAAGGCTGTCATTTTGATGACAGCAACTTTTCCTTTTAAAACTGCACTCCTCTAATTCCCATTTGTCAAATTTGCTCCCCCAAACTGGCTCTCCCCTTGTGAGCTATTTTTTGGGGGGAGGTGGGTAGAATGGGAAATGTTTATCCAATCACAGAGCAGAGAAGCCCAGTTTTCAAAGAGCATTAGGAACAAACATTTCTTCATCTCCCCCACTGGAAGGAAATACAGGGACCCCTGACCAGGGTTAACTAGTGCAAATTAGGGATTAGGGACTAAAGTCCCTGTACCCCATCCCTAGGCTGGGATCTTTGGGTGTGGGGAACTGAGTCAAAGATGGGGTGTAAGGTGCTATTTTGGAGGGAAAGTTGGTGGGGATACCCCAAAGCCCACCAGAAGAGTAGAATGGTTCCCCCCAAACCATTTGGAGTGACTGGTGAGGGGAGTGACACTGGGAAGACGGGAATACAGGTAAGGATCAAGGTCATGTGCAAATCCTGGGCTTACCCACCCAACCGACCCCTATCATTTTTCTGGCTATTTGGTCTAGTCTGGGAGACACCATCAGGAAAAAAACAGGGATAAAGTAGATTCCCTTCTCCATCCCATAAGGAGTTCTTCCCTCCTGGCCCCCAAATCTGGTTTGGCCCAGAAGAGGCCATATGTAGAGGCAGAAAGAGGTGTGATCTGCTCACCTCTTTTGCCTTGGAAGAATCTGGAGCTCACTGGATTTGGGTGTCAAGATAGGGCCAATATTTCCCTGCCCTGGACTGGGAAAGTACCCAGCCATGGAACAAGCAGCCCAGAGGGGCAGCCCTCCCCAAACTTCCTGGACCTGGGTTGGGAGAGGCCATCTCCAAAGTCCAGCAATATGGGGATGAACATGGAAGATCCAAAGGCATGAAAGCCGAGGAAGGCGTCTTGATGCAAGGGAAGCAGGGACTTGGAGACCCACACTTGGGAAGGATGGAACCCAAAACCACACTCCCAGGTGGGTGGGGTCAGGTATCACAATGGTCTGGTCCAGGCCCTGGGCCACAAAGAATGGAATGTGCTAGGAAGCATCTGGAAAGGGCTTAGAGAAAGCTTCAGAACAAGTGGGGGTCATCAGGTGAGAGAGATGGTTTCCCCCTAGGTTTACGAATCGGGGAGCAGGTTAGACATTCAGAGCTGGTGGGGGCTGTGAGTAGAGATTCAGGTTAAGTATATTGCTCAGTTGCCCCAAGGGCTGGAGAAGGGGGGAAGCTGGCCCTGCCCCTCATGGAGGCCATTCCCTGGAGGAAGACTGAGAGGGGAACCACGAAAGATCCCTTCCCAGGAGGTGGGAAAACTACAATCTCACACAAAGCAGCCTGACCCCTGAGCTCCAGGGGCCCCCAAGTCCCTGCACAAGAGTGTGGAGGGGCTCCCAAGGGGCAGGGAGGCCAGGGAGCTGGTAGTGGTGGGGGGTTCAGGGAGGGTGGCATCTGGTGAAAGGGGGATTGAGCCCCAGGATTCACCCCACATCACCCTTCTGGGTTCTCTCAACCCCTGCCCTTTCCCCTTCTCCCTTAGGGGGAATTGGTGGAGGAAGAGTTGGGGCAGGTGGTGTTGGTGGGGTAGGGGGTGCTGCTTGAGGATTCACTGCGTAGCCAAAGACCCCTGGTAGGAAAGGAAGGGCCCCCCCACCCTTCTCATCAGGTAGGACCATGTTGAGAGCAACTGGGAGAGCGGCCAAGTTACTGAAGTTGTAAGGGTAGGCGGCAAGGAGCTGGGGGCCGTAGACAAGCGGGTAGGGCTCAGGGTAGAAAGTAACTTTGGCAGCCCCTATCCCCTCCATCCGGTCCCCATCACCAGCCCCCGCTGGCCCCTCACCCCCAGGTTTTCCCCTGCCACCACCAGGTTCCCGGCCACTCCCAATCAAAGCCAGTGGAAATTCCTGCACAGGTGGGTATGGGTAGCTGCCCCCACCTGCCACCACTGGGGGCTCCTCACCCCCTGAGATGACAGGGTCCTGGAGTGAGGCAGTCTCGGAAGCTTCCTCAGCAGCAGTGCTCCCACTGCCTGCCTCACCGCTGGAGGAGGAGACTTGCATCTCTTGGGGGGCTTCCTCTTTGACATTCCCGGGCCTGGTGCCGGCACTGCCCTTGGAATAGGCAATGACAGGCGTGGGGGTACCCCCGGGCCGCTCAGCAGCATGCCTCTGCCCGTGGCGGCTCAGGGCAGCTGCAGTCTTACACACCTTGGCGCAGTGGGGGCAGGTGAATCGGGTGGAGGGCCTTCGTCCGGTGCGGGAGCTGTGGGAGCCACCGCCGTGGGCCTCTTGGTGCTTTCGTAGCTTTCTCAAGGTGGCGAAGGTCTGGGCACAGTCGCCGCAGCGGTGCCTCCGCTCTGTACGGGCACGCCCCGCTGGGCTCTCAGCCGCTGGGGTGTCCTCCCAGCTCCTCCTTTCCAGCTTCTGCCTCCAGCGTGGTGGCCTGCGGCTTCGGGGCAGCCCCCCGCCCCCGGCACTGGCACCTCCCGCAGCTCCAGCCTTGCGCTTAGGCTTGTAGGAATAGTAGGGCCTCCAGAGCTGGTCCTCCCCGCCAGCCTTGGATTCCTCCTCCTCCTCCTCCTCCTCTTCCTCCTCCTCCTCTTCGTCCTCCTCACTCTCCTCCATCTCCTCTCCGCTCAGCTCCCCAGGACGCAGGTCAGTCTCTGAGATGCGGCGCTTGACAATGGCCTCCTCACCAATTCGCACAGTGATCTGACACAGTGGAGGTGGAGCCTGCAGCTGAGAGGGGCCCCGGCCAGCCCCTGTGGGGAGACCCCCACCTCCACCCATCCCACCCACGGGCTTGGCTGTGTAAGTCAGGGTCCTTCCAGCCCGTGGATTCCGGCCCTTGGCCTCCTCCGTGGCGGTGGCTGTGGCTGGGCCTGCGGCGGTGGCTGGGCTGACCGCTGTGGCTGGGCTGGTGGGCGTGGCTGCAGGCTCACGGGGAGGAGGTGGGTACTCTCGTTTCTTGGGTGGCCTTGGGGGCGCAGTGTAAGTGATAACAGAGGCAGCTTGGGACCCTCCTGTGCTGGTCGTCCCACTCCCCGCTCCACCACTGCTGCTGCCCCCATGGACAATGACAGAGGGGGCTGGGTGAGCAAAAGTGATGACTGAGGGTGGAGGGCCAGGCTCTGGGGCAGGTGGGGGCCCGGGTGGTGGGCTGGCTGGCATTGCCACTGGAGCCGGTGTGTTGAGGCTTGGAGAAAGAGGGGCCTCTGGGGCTCCCTGGCTGTAGGTCTTGTAGGGCCGCTTGGCTGCCCGCATGGGGAGCAGGCGGTAGAGCTTGAGAGTATTAAGCTTGGGCTTGTAGCCTCCATTGGGTGTCTTCTCACTGGCGAGGAGGCCTGGGCTAATGCCATGGAAAGCTCGCTGGTGCGTCTTCAGGTTATAATAAGTAACAAAGGTCTCCCAACAGAAGATGCACTGGTACCTGGTCAGGACAGCAGGGAACAGAGCAGGAACACAGCCACTGAGTCAAGGGCCCTGAAACCTCTCAGGTCCTCCTCTGCCCTCCGCTCAAACCTGTGGCTCCCACAGCCATCTGCTCACCCTCCTGGTGCTGCCTGCCTCACCAGGACAGCCTCAGTGAGGAGCGCGCATCCGAGCTCAGCGCCTCCACTGGCTGTTCCATCTGGGACCCAGCCTAACTCACATAGCCTTCTTCTGAAGCCGAAATGACAGAATGGGGAAATGCCTTACAAACAGGGACACAGTGTGGAAACAAGCCTGCTCTGAATAGTCTAACTACTGCTGGACATGCCTGTGTCTCTGCAGTCCTTTCTCGTGAGGGCAACTTTCTCTTTCCCTCTAGGCTTTCCCCATAGCAGCAAGCCAGGACATGGTACAAAGAGGTGCTAATAAGCCTCAGCTGGAGGAAGGCAGATGGGCGAATGGTGGTGAGCAGGGGCCAGTATCATGATGTTTTATTTTCCTTTTAAAATTGTTTGTAGGGCTGGGCGCGGTGGTTCACGCATTTAATCCCAGCTCTTTGGGAGGCCGAGGCAGGTGGATCACAAGGTCAGGAGTTCAAGTCCAGTCTGGCCAAGATGGTGAAACCCTGTCTCTATTAAAAATATAAAAATTAGCTGGGCATGGTGGCAGGCACCTGTAATCCCAGCTACTTGGGAGGCTGAGGCAGAGAATCGCTTGAACCCGGGTGGGAGTAAAGGTTGCAGTGAGCCAAGATTGTGCCACTACACCCCAGCCTGGGCAACAGAGTGAGACTCCATCTCAAAAAAAAAAAAAAAAAAAAAAAGCTGGGCACAGTGGCTCATACCTGTAATGCCAGCACTTTGGGAGGTTGAGGCACGTGGATCACAAGGTCAGGAGATTGAGACCATCCTAGCCAACACAGTGAAAACCCATCTCTACTAAAAATACAAAAAATTAGCCAGGCATAGTGGCACACATCTGTAGTCCCAGCTACTTGGGAGACTGAGGCAGGAGAATCGCTTGAACCTGGGAGGTGGAGGTTGTGGTGAGCCAAGATCACGCCACTACACCCCAGCCTGGGCAACAAAGTGAGACTCTTTCTCAAAAATAAAATAAAATAGTTTATAGAGGCCAGGCGCAGTGGCTCACCCCTATAATCCCAGCATTTTGAGAGGCTGAGGCTGGTGGATCACCTGAGGTCAGGAGTTCAAGAACAGCCTGGCTAACATGGTGAAACCTGCTCTACTAAAAATACAAAAATTAAGGTCAGGCACAGTGGCTCACGCCTGTAATCCCGGCACTTTGGGAGGCTGAGGCTGGTGGATCACCTGAGGACAGAAGTTCGAGACCAGCCTGACCAACATGGTGAAACGCCAACTAAAAATACAAAAAAAATTAGCTGGGCATGGTGGTAGGCATCTGTAATCCCAACTACTTGAGAGGCTGAGGCGGGAGAATCGCTTGAACCTGGAGGCAGAGGTTGCAGTGAGCTGTGATCATGCCATTGCACTCTAGCCTGGGTGACAGAGCAAGACTCCCCATCTCTCAAAAAAAAAAAAAAAAAAAAAAAAAAAAAACAGGCCTGGTGCAGTGGCTCATGCCTGTAATCCCAGCACTTTAGGAGGCCGAGGTAGGCAGATCACCTGAGGCCAGGAGTTCCAGACAAGCCTGGCCAACATGGTGAAACCCTGTCTCTACAAAAAATACAAATATTAGCCAGGCATGATGGTGGGAGCAAAAATCTGTCTCAAAACAAACAAATAAACAAAAAACAAAAATTAGCTGGACATGGTAGTGCATGCCTATAATCCCAGATACTCAACTTGAACCCAGGAGATGGAGGTTGCAGTGAGCTGAGATCGAATCTCTCTAGCCTGGGGCACAGAGTGAGACTCTAGCTTAAAAAAAAAAAAAAAGTCAGGCATAGTGACTCACACCTGTAATCCCAGCATTTTGGGATGCTGAGGAGGGAGGATCACCTGAGATCGGGAGTTCGAGACCAGCCTGACCAACATAGAGAAACCCCGTCTCTACTAAAAATACAAAATTAGCCAGGTGTAGTGGCACATGCCTGTTATCCCAGCTATTCGGGAGGCTGACGCAGGAGAATCGCTTGAACCCAGGAGGCAGAGGTTGCAGTGAGCCAAGATCATGCCATTGCACTCTAGCCTGGGCAACAAGAGCAAAACTCCGTCTCAAAAAAAAAAAAATTGTAGAGATGGGGTCTCTGTGTTGTCCAGGCTCATCTCAAACTCCTGGCCTCAAGCAGTCCTCCCACCTCAGCCTCCCAAAGTACAGGGATTACTGCAGCTGACCTAGTCTCAGGATAACTTTCTGGGCCCCAAGCCCCGCCCCTTGCCACCGTAGTCCTGGTGATCTCTGAGTTCTGGCCAAGGCTGTTCCCCAACCAGCCTGGACTACTCACCTGCGCTCCCCAGTGTGCCACACCTCATGCTTAGTGCGGTACTCTGCCAGGGCGAACACCTTCTCGCAGTAGCGGCAGGGGTACTTTCTCCGCCATGAGTGTACGTTGCTATGCCTCTTGAGACTGGACAGGGTCACGTAGGAACGCTCACAGGCCGCACACACATACAGCACGTGGCCGCCCACCACCTTCACCACGTGCTCGGGGCCCCCTCGGAAGCCCACTGGTGGAGGCAGGGCTGAGGCATCCACCCCTGCAGGACCACCAGGGCCAGCGCCCCCGGCACCCAGCCCTGTAGACCCCCGAGTGCTGGCCCCCCGTCGGCACTGGGCCTCATGGGTCTGCAGCCGTTTGGGATGGATGAAGCTTTTTCCACACTGGGGGCAGGGGAGGGGCCGCCGGGGCAGGGGGCACTGCAAGTCAGGGGCCTGGACCTCAGCCCTGTCACCCTCCCACTCCCCAGCTGGCCGGGGCCCCGGCCCAAAGCTGTCCTCTTCAGGCTGCGAGGTGTCCATGGGGGCTGGGGTAGGAGGTACCCAGGCATCGCCTCCCTCCCCCAGGCCCTGAAGGCGAGAGATGCCCAGACGGCGCCCCAAAGCTCCGATCTCTGCTACAGCTGCCCCATCCCCTCCACCGCCAGGCAGTGCAAGCCGGGCGCTATAGATGAAGTTGAGGACATCAGAAAATGCAGCTGCTGGGACCCCTGGCAGCTCCAGGACCCGGGGTGGGGATGAAGCAGGGGGAGAGGCTGGAGGGGGAGAGGAAGAGGAAGAGGAGGAAGAGGAGGAAGCAGAGGAGGAGGAAGAGGAAGAGGATGAGGAAGAGGAGGAGGAGGAAGAGGCCGCTGTGGTGGTAGCAGGGTTGGGTGCTGAGCCCCCAGTAGCTGGTGGGAGGGGCAGCGGGGCTGAAGTAAGCAGGGCCTCTCTGAAGAAGGGACTTGAAGCAGCTAGGACGCTGCGGTGAGCAGGGAACTTGGTGTCTCCAGCTATGAGCGTGACATCACAGAAGAGGCCTCGGAGCCGCTGTTCATTGAGCTGGTGCAGGACAGCGGGAGCATGGGACGGGTCCGTCACCTCTGCAGGGGGGGGCATGGTGCCAGCCTAGACAGTAAAAGAAGAGGCCGAGGAGAGTCTCAGAGGCTGGGCAGAGGGCAGGGGCTTCTAAGATCAGGCAGGGACTGGGTCAGGGCTGCTGGTCAGAAACTAGTGGAAGGCTGAATCACTTCAGGTCACAGAAATCAGGGTTTGGTCATGAGCCACCTAAGTCTGGCCAGCATCCAGGACCAGTATGTCTAACTCACCTCTGTATCTGGAAGAGGCCAGAGATACCTCAGGTCATGGTGAAGGTCAAGAGGTCATGACCTCTGAAGTCACTGACTAGGGAGGTCAGCGATGGAAACCTCTCTCATCGGAAGGAGGGGGAAGTCCTGCTACTCCTGAAAGCCATTTCATAGAACTCCCCAGCCTAGAAAAAATGGCCGCCCTGCTGGCCTGCTGCTTTGGGTCCAGTTTTTCCTCACTGCAATCCTCTGGGCACCCTCTCACCTGAGAGCGCAGCCAACATGGAGTGGGACGGGGGGTGGCTCAGCGAGTCCCTTCTGCTGGGCCTCTTCCTTCTGTGGAGAAACAGAAACCATGTCAGGGGAACCTAGAGGAGGAGCCAGGAAAGGGTCCTCAGGGAGGGAAGTGGGAGGAAAATCCCTCAGGAAGTGGGGAGGGTGCAGCCAGAGAGGACACCTGTGTCAGCCCAGATCCCTCCCCCGAGCCTCAATCAGGTTATTTGTTTAGCTGCATCCAATCAAACCTAGAAGGTCACGCATATTATTGCAAAGTCTTGTTCTGCAGGCCCAGAGAAGTAAAGCGACAAGATAATTTGCATAGTCCCAATTCACCTCCAAACAATATAGCAGCACAGATCCGGCCCACAGGTTCAGGGAAGCCTGTCACATCACTCTCAAGTCCCTTTGCCCCAATCCTCAGGGCTCAGAGAAAGTCAAAGATTTGCACATGGTCTTTTACCACAAGCATCTCATTTACATATCAAAATAATTTGTGAGTTTTTTTTTTAATTGAACCTAATTTGGTAGCTATGCAAATTAGGAGAGGACCGCCTCACCAGCCTCATAAATCTTAGAGGGGGTTTCTGGCCCAGCTGCCAGGCAACCACTGAAGACCATTGACCCATACACAACTGCCAGCTTGCTCCAGTCTCTGGAGGACACTGGAAAGGCCACAAGACTGGGAGGCCTGGTCCCACGCCTTACTCAGAGACTGATGCCCTAGGGATTCGGGCTGAAAAAGCAGCAGAATCACAACACCTACATCACCTCTTGCTGGGAGTCTCATCCAAAGGGAAGAGCAAGGCTGAGCACGGTGGCTCATGCCTGTAATCCCAGCACTTTGGGAGGCCAAGGTGGGTGGATCACCTGATGTCAGGAGTTCAAGACCAGCCTGGCCAACATGGTGAAAACCTGTCTCTACTAAAAATACAAAAAAAAAATTAGGCCGGGCACAGTGGCTCACGCCTGTAATCCCAGCACTATGGGAGGCCAAGATGGGTGGATCACCTCATGGAGTTCAAGACCAGCCTGGCCAACATGGTGAAACCCTGTCTCTACTAAAAACACAAAAAAATTAGCCAGGCATGGTGGTGGGTGCCTGTAATCCCAGTTACTCAGAAGGCTGAGAGGAGAATCGCTTGAACCTGGGAGGTGGGGGTTGCAGTGAGCTAAGCTCTCACCATTGTACTCCAGCCTGGGCAATGGGTCAAAACTGTCTCAAAAAAAAAAAAAAAAAAAAAAAATCTGCCGTGCTTGGTGGCTCATGCCTGTAATCCCAGCACTTTGGGAGGCTGACACAGGTGGATCATGAGGTCAGGAGTTCAAGTCTAGCCTGACCAACATAGTGAAACCCCATCTCTATAAAAAATACAAAACATCAGCTGGCCATGGTGGCAGGCACCTGTAATCCCAGCTACTTGGGAAGCTGAGGCAGGAGAATCACCTGAACCCAATAGGCGGAGGTTGCAGAGAGCCAAGATTGCGGCATTGTACTCCAGCCCTGGCGACAGTGTGAGACTCTGTTGAAAGAAAGAAAGAGAGAGAGAGAGAGAAAGAAAAGGAAGGAAGGAAAAGAAAAGAAAGAGAAAGAAAGAGAGAGTGGGAGGGAGGGAGGAAGGAAGGAAGGAAGGAAAGAAGGAAGGAAGGAAAAACTGCTGTAAAAACAAACAAAAAAAAACAAAGCGAAGAGCAAGCAACTCAAAAGCAAGCTCAGGCTGTCAGCCACTCTGAGCGCCACACCTCTGCTTTCCCCTGCAGGCACCATTAGGGCCTTGAGGACTCTTTTCAGCTGAATGTTTGAGTTCCAAAGCCATACAGAGACTTATCCAAAGTCACACAGAGCTGGTAATCACAGGTGGGATCTCTCCTGCGGCCTGCGACTTGAACTCTCCAGACCCTCTCCTCCACCCTCCACAAAGCCTGGGAGCCATTGCCTATCTGTGAGGGTGTCCTTCCATATGCCCTGGGCCACACATATCTTCAGAGGTATCTGGCATCAGGAGTTCTTCATACAATTCCCATCCCCTGAAAAAATAAATTCTTTCCCATTTATTACTCATACTATCTGGACTCAAAGGCCTTTTCCCCACATATACCCTATTTCACATTCCCCAGAATACTTTCATGATACCTCTCCTGGATGGGAAGAAGGAAGATGGAAAACAGGGGTGATATTCTAAAGTTTTAATGACCCTATCTTCCAGGCACAGATCAGTTTCTATGTCAAGTGCTACCCTGTCAGTTGGTAAATTTCAGATAGGCCAGTCACCCTGAGAAGGGGACTCACCGCATTCATGGGCAGGTATTCAGGCCTCTCACTCCCTTCCATGATAACTACTGGTCCACTGGGACCCCAAGAGTCAGTGTTTTATTTGCATCACCTCATTTGTTCCTCATCACTATCCTGAAAGGTAGCAGTTAGCTTTCCCACTTTAAAATGACACTAAGGCTGGCATGGTGGCTCATGCCTGTAATCCCAGCACTTTGGGAGGCCAAAGCAGGCAGATCCTCTGAGGTCAGGAGTTTTGAGACCAACCTGGCCAACGTGGCGAAACCCCTAAAAAATACCAAAAAATGCTAAAAATACTAAAAATGCAAGAAAAACTAGCCGGGCGTGGTGATGGGCACCTGCAATCCAGCTACTTGGGAGGCTGAGGAAGGAGAATCGCTGGAACCCAGGAAGCAGAGGCTGCAGTGAGCTGAGATCGCACCACTGTACTCCAGCCTGGATGACAGAGTGAGACTCTGTCTCAAAAATAAAAATAGCCGGCCGGGCGCGGTGGCTCACGCCTGTAATCCCAGCACTTTGGGAGGCCGAGGCAGGTGGATCACGAGGTCAAGAGATCAAGACCATCCTGGTCAACATGGTGAAACCCCATCTCTACTAAAAATACAAAAAATTAGCTGGGCATGGTGGCGCGTGCCTGTAATCCCAGCTACTCAGGAGACGGAGGCAGGAGAATTGCCTGAACCCAGGAGGCAGAGGTTGCGGTGAGCCGAGATCGCGCCATTGCACTCCAGCCCGGGTAACAAGAGTGAAACTCCGCCTCAAAAAAAAAAAAAAATAAATAAATAAATAAAATAAAATAAAAATAGCCTGGGCGTGGTGGCTCATGTCTGTAATCTCCGCACTTTGGGAGGCCGAGGCAGGCAGATCACAAGGTCAGGAGTTTGAGACCAGCCTAGCCAACATGGTGAAACCCTGTCTCTACTAAAAATACAAAAGAAATTAGCCAGGTGTGCCGGGCGCGGTGGCTCAAGCCTGTAATCCCAGCACTTTGGGAGGCCGAGGCGGGTGGATCACGAGGTCAAGAGATCAAGACCATCCTGGTCAACATGGTGAAACCCCGTCTCTACTAAAAATACAAAAAATTAGCTGGGCATGGTGGCGCGTGCCTGTAGTCCCAGCTACTCAGGAGACTGAGGCAGGAGAATTGCCTGAACCCAGGAGGCAGAGGTTGCAGTGAGCCGAGATCATGCCATTGCACTCCAGCCTGGGTAACAAGAGCGAAACTCCGTCTCAAAAAAAAAAAAAAAAAAAAAAAGAAATTAGCCAGGTGTGGTTGCAGGTGCCTGTAATCCCAGCTACTCAGGAGGGTGAGACAGGAGAATCGCTTGAACCCAGGAAAGTGGAGGTTACAGTGCGCTGAGATCGAGCCATTGCACTCCAACCTGGGCAAAAAGAGTGAAATTTTGTCTAAAAAATAAATAAATAAAATGACAAATTATGGCTTATAGACTCTAGGTAGCTGGCCAAAGGACATATGACTGGCTAGTAGCAGAGCTGGGATCTGATCCCAGTAAGTTTGGTACCAAAGCCTGTGTTCCTGATGACTGCACCATATATCAATGAAGGACATGTTTATGGCACCTACTAGGGCATACATAGCCTACCTGCTGCCTTTCTGAAAATTAGAAAAAAGGCTATTTTCTCCAGGAGGTAGCAGCCCTGTGTAGGTGAGCAAAGTCAAGGTTTGCTTCCAGCCCCCAATCACCCCATTGGGTAGGCCTGCCCTCCTGCAAAACTACATGGGGTGGTCTTGGTGCCTGTGCCTGTGTGACTGCCACACAGTACTTGGACAAGGCCTGACAGGGCTTTTTTTTGTTTTTGAGACGGAGTCTCGATCTGTCGCCAGGCTGGAGTGCAGCAGTGCAATCTCAGCTCATTGCAATCTCTGCCTCCTGTGTTCAAGCTATTCTCCTGCCTCAGCCTCCCGAGTAGCTGGGATTACAGGTGCATGCCACCATACCCAGCTAATTTTTTTTTTTTTTTTTTTTTTGTATTTTTAGTAGAGACGGGGTTTCACCATCTTGGCCAGGGTGGTCTTGATCTCCTGACCTCATGATCTGTCCGCCTCAGGCTCCCAAAGTGCTAGGATTACAGGTATGAGCCACTGCACCCAGCCAGGGCTTCTTAGAACCAGACACTCAACACTGGACTGGCCCTTGGAGATAACACAGAATTACTGCCATCATGTTCTCTGTAGCAGCCATTTATGGAAAAAAAAAAAAACTCTTTTTGAGACAACGTCTCACTCTGTTGCCCAAGCTGGAATACAGTGGTGCAAACATGGCTCACTGCAGCCTCAACCTCCCAGGCTCAAATGATCCTCCTGCCTCAGCCTCCTGAGTAGCTGGGACCACAGGAATATGCTACAATACCTGGCTAATTTATTTATCTACTTTTGTAGAGACGGGATCTTGTCATGTTGCCCAGGCTTGAAATACTTATCATGTGCAAAGTGTAATGCTAAGCATTTTATCTGCATCATCGCATTTCAACACTCAAAATGGCCTCTGTGAGGCAACAGGCTTAAAGAAATCAAATACTCTAAACTCCTCCCTTCCAGATAGAGGGAAAGTAGTGATGGGGAGATTTGCTTCTGGGTTTGTTGCTAGCCAACCCAGCAGTTTGCAAGCAGCTCGAGCTAAACTACTCTCTCACTGGCTGTTGCCCTTCAAGGCCTTTTAGGAAGTGGAAAAGACTAGCTAAGTGACCCCGGGCAGGTTACTTAACCTCTTTGTATCTGTTTCCTTGTCCTTAAGGTGGGGACGAT